GGTAAGATAAAAAGCAATTCTTTAATTAAAACTTCCAGGTGCACTAATATGGCTATATATGCACCCAATCATTTATATCTTTATTTTCATAAGTGCAATTACTCAGTATATCTATCAGGTACACCCAATAGGAGATCACTTGCCCCAGTAACCTACCCTTAGGTCACCCTCTTGGAGTTGGTCCAGGGGCTTCCCTATTTCTTGTTATGTCTCATGTTCTGATGGAAAACAAGACATCTTTGTCAGAAATTCTCTTTTTAAGAATAAGACTAAATAGAATTTCAAGAATGTGTTGAAAGGTTTAGCTTATTATTCTAAAACATAAGGGCAAGAAAAGTACTGTATCTTAAAAATCTACAAAGCTACAAATACATGAAAAAGCTAAGAATCTTTAGCCATGGCTATGAGTTGAACATACCAAAGAAAGAAAAAGATGGTGAGATGTGGGCAAAGATGAAGGAGCACAAGCTCTTACAGTTCCTGCATCTGCATTCAGCTTGAACAGATGACCATACACCAGTGAAATGGAAAGCACACCAAAAGCTGGCCATGCAGCCACACACTACTGAAGATGTGAAGCAGCGACCACTCAAAGCACGGATTCATGCCAAACACTGCTTTACAGTACTGCTCTGGCCACACTGAAAACTTCAGCTGGACTGGAGGAGAGGTCATCCTCTTCAAGAACATACAAGCACCTACAAGCTCTTCAAGCTGGGCCAGTGACAACCTCAGTCCCCCAACCCTTCAAGCACGCTGCCTGCCACCTCTCAGTTTCTTGACACACCTCAGTTCTGTGATTTTTTATCCCAGCACAACAGCTTTCCCAAGAGGGAATTAGTCCTAGGCAATGCAACACCTTCCAGGCACTGGATTTCTGTGTGCTAGAGACCAACACCAGTGCCAAACTCCTTTACAACTAAGGCAACTTCCACACGTTCTGAGGCGAGGAATTAACAATAAGCACCCGCAGGCAAATGTATTTTTCTAAACTCCCTTGCAAGCATAAGGATGGAAACTGATGCATGACCCTCCCACCAGAAGAAAAAAAAAAAAAAAACCACCAGAAATCTCCACAGCCACAGGACAACTCTACCAAACTACAAAAAAATTCCAAACTAAAACAGAACAAACAAAAACACAAAGCCAAAACCACCCCACATTTTCTCTAAAATCCAACATCTTCAATGTTTATATGAGCATCTCAGGGGGAAAAAAATTTACTGGACAACAGCATCTGTGATGGAGGAAAAGAAAAACAGAAGTTGAGTTCAGGAAATTCCCAAACGGGGACAAGGAAGGTCCAGCTTGACCCCGTCAGTTGTGGCCAGCACCATTGAAGTGCCTGCCCCAGCAGCAGCACCGCAACAGCGTTTCAGGAGCTGCAGAAGGCAGGGGCCTGCCAGGGGGTGAAGGCACCTGAGATCAGCTCAGCAGATAACCAGACCTTCCCTCATTCCCAGTAGCTGCTGCTCAAGTCATCAGGCTGGGTCAAAACCTGGTGCTTGCTGACTCCTGACTCCTGGTGCCAGGCACAGGGAGTCCAGGGCACTGCCAAAAGCTTTCCCAACAGGAGGAAAACTGAACTTCACAGTAACCCGGTACATGCTGAGCACCTGCCAGTTGCAAGTGGCCCTCTTTAATGCTTTTAAACTTTTCTCCCTTTTTAGCTATTTTCTTTTTCCTTTAATTTTTGTATTTTAAGTGTGACTAAAACAGGTCTGTCAAGACACCGCATTTACAACCCCACATACCTGCTGACACTTGATTTCCAACTAGGCAATGATAATTTTTAAAGGAAAAAGAATTCATGCAATGGCTCCTCACCTCAGCCAGAAGTTGGTATTTTATTCCTTGCTCTATTTGGAAAAAAAACATAAGTGTCTTGTTCAACATTAAAATGATGGGGGGGGGAACAGCCATAGGGCAGGAACCCTTACTATCAATCCAGCACTGCTGACCCCCAAATTACTACACATGAATTGTAAATTCGTTAAAAATGCCACACAGCTTCTTCAACACATCCATGGCCAACATTCCCCTTCCTTCCCTCAACATGCACTCATACACATTCTGGAGAAGTATGGCCCATCCTTTACCTTATCTGTCAAATGTGTTGTCAGTCCTAGGTCGCCAGCCTTTCAGTCAAGTACTGTTCTTTGCTTAACACATGAAAGAGCTGCAAGTATCCATGCAATATAAGAAACAACAGACCATAAACTAAGACAATCACACTGATGTTCTCTTTTCAATAAATGCTCCTGTACAGAATTTGTCATCATAGGAAAACTCCATCAATTAATTAGAAAAAAAAAAAAAAAAAAAAAAAAGAAAAAAACCATCCAAAACCAAAACCAAACCCCCAACAAAATGAAAACACAGCTTCATCCCCCCCACCAATAAACCCAAAACTTCAGGAGAAAAAACAGTTGGACAGAATGCAACACTAGGCTGGTTCCCAACTGAGGGGACGCAGAATCCACATCAGGCAGTACACAAAAATAGGCTAAATATGACAAAAGCTGCACCCAACACATATCAGTCTGATCACTGACACACCTTACTGTTGTAATGCCAATGTTACCCACGAAGAAGTCTTTCTTGGGAAAGCAGCATCATAAGGAGAAGTCATTGTAGTTGCAAACCTTTTCCTGAGGGCTAAGGGTTTGTTGGTAGGCCAACCACACAAGCTGCTGCATGGCAGCAGGGAGTTAAGCATCTCCCCAGGCAGCTAAAGCCTGGTTTCCAGTGGCAGCAGTCCATGACCACAGGGTTGCCACAGCACCTCCTAAACTGCAACAAAGGGAAAAGTAAAAAACTGAAGAAGACAGCAGCTTCAGGAATTCTGTGGTACACAGAAAGCAGCTGGAGCTGCTCTGGGAGCCTTGCTAATTTTCAGGGTCAGGAAGGGCAGCCTTCTATAACAAAACGTTAAAGGTGGTAAAGCACCTAGGAACTGTGGAAGAAGCCAAAAAAATCCAGAAATCATTTAGATCGTCACCAGCATCTCCAGTGGACAGTTCCTGCTGGCCTGCACCCCAGTTCAGGGGCACCAGTAGGCACCACCGTAGATGAGGCCATTCCAGCCTGCAGCACTTCTCTTTCCACCACCAGCAGTTACTTTTTGGAGAGCAATGGCATCAAAGGGTGTGCACATTCCCCCAACTAACCAGGCACATGACTCATCTACAGCAATGCTGCCAGTTCAGAAAGAGCACATAGAGGTCTGTAACAGAGAGTAATAAATTCAGCACTTAAATGGCAATGCGAGTGAGAGAACAACAAAATCATGAAGTCAACAAGTGCTGCTTTGCGTAACAGGATATTTAGAAATACTTTGTGCAGATTCAAGACTTTGCTCCTCTGTCTAGTGGCTGATTCAGAATTTGTGCCCACTTCCTGAAAGGCAAGTTCCTCACCCCACCCTATCCCCATTTAGGGTTCACAGTTCATCAGTGGAAATTCCCTTCTTTGCCCCTTCCAGCAGCCAACATTTTCAGAAGGCTGCCAGCCCGAACTATACAGCTCCCACCAGGTGGGAAATCCTTCTGCAGAGGCATCTTTAGAATTGCAGGCTCTTTGCCACCCTCATAAGCTACATCAATCAGCAGTCCAACCACAAGGATGCAGGTTTTAAGTATGTCTGCTTGCATGTATAAAAGCTTACTGGAAGCCTTATGTCCATTAAAAGCTTTTCATCCCCTGCTGTGCAGTGACAGTATTTTACACCTTTATGTAAGGCTGCTGATGAACACAGGGAGTCGTAACAAATTCTCTGCCATATCTTCAGGCATATTATTGCATGTGATCTACCCCAAGTGCCATGGCATTTAATTCAGAACATATAAACAAGATTTTCATGCTTCAGATTTAAAAGGATACCACCAATAACAGAGACTGACTGCCTTGAGCTATTGCCATGAGTAAAGACAACAGAATCCCTTTAAAAGATTTAAAGTGTTATGCTTTTTCCACTCTTCAATATAGAAGTTACCATACAAAGCAGTATTTCCAATGATAAAGTAGTTCTGGTTTAGATGAATAAGAAGAAAACCCTGAACATGCAATGGCATATACTTTTTACCAGATGCAGTAATGAAAAATCCAAAGTTAAAAAAACAAAAAAGCAAACACGACGTCATCATCAAGTTTTCTGTTTTATTTAAGATTTTAGTTTTAATTCTGAAGAAAGAGGTACATTTCCTTGGTTTTAGTTTTAGCGTCAGGTTATAACCATGTTTATTTATCTGTTTCTTTTTTCCTGTCTTTTCAATACTGCACAAACGTCCAGAAACTACAGGGTTAAGTAAAAGCTGCAGGCAGAGGAGGTCAGAGGTTGCTCCTGATGGTGATCATGTGGCCCCAATGCAGTGCTATCCCAGAGTGCCCAAATCGGGTGAATCTTTAAAAAAAAAAAAAAAAAGAGAGACTGACAGAGGAGACAGAAAGACTGAAGTAAATATCACTCGTGTTTCAGCTGCTTATAATTATATTACGTATACACTAGGTATTAAATCTGTGAATACTTTTAAAACATTAACGTTTACTTGAAATCTAAAGCCAAAATTAAAGAAAAATCTTATTCTCCCATCTTTAAACCACTCTAGCAACATGCCAGTTACTCATACCTATAAGTGTTTTGTCTTTCAACACACTTCATGTCAAACTCTGACTGATGCAATAAAATCCCCTGCTCAAAAAAAAAAAAAACCAAAAAAATACCCAAAAAAAACCAATCAATGCCAACATAGCAATTTCCCTGTGTAGTGCCACACTGAATGCAAAATAAATGCTGGGCGACTGCTTGCCCCATATGTTCAGTAACTTCATTTAAATTAAATACCTTTTTTATGCTCTTGCATTTGATTCTGCATTGCACTTTTCCCCCTACTGCAGATTGACACTTTTCCACTAGGCAGAAATACTCATGTGCAAAAGACGTAAGACAGTAATATTCTCCTTAAGCATTGAGACAGCATTTTGATTTCTCTCTCTTTTTTTTTTTTCCTTAGAATGGTTAGAAAGTATTTCAAACAGTGTATTTCAAACACTGTTTCTGCAGAAACTTAACAAAAAGAATGGTCATGACCCTGTGATGGCATTGCATTTGGGGGGGAAGTTTGATCAGGAACTGGATTCTTCAGAAAGAAAGATATGACAGGGAACAGTAGGTGGGCATGGGGAGGAGTCAGGGTGGGACACTTCCTGCATTTCTAACATTTTGGGTCTTATTTTTCTTTTTTTTTTTCTTCCTTTCCTAATGACGATCCAGCGCTGAGCTCTGTAGTAGATCTGTGGGGGTTTTACTGGGGGGTCTGAAGGCTGTCTGAAAGCCTGGAGGTGGGGAATGGAAGCTGGTGGGGTTTGAAGGAGGAGAGTAGGGATTCCAACTGGCTCTGTGCAGAGGGATCTGTGTGCCGAAGGGGTTACTGTGGTGCGTCTGTGATGGTGCTGCACTGGGGCCGTCCACCTCTGTGAGGGCCTGAAGAGATTTTAGCCAATGTGGAGGATTGTCATCTTGAAGAGTGTCTAAACTGTTTCCTGTGGAGGCTGGGATACCTAAGAAAAGGAAGAAAAAAAACAGGGATACAGGCAAGTCAGAGGAGAAGCAATAAACTGACCATGAAGGAAGTCAATTTAACCTAGCAAAAAGCAACAATGAAAAAACATGATTAGTTTGTACAGAAAATACATTTTACATTATTATGTATAGCTACCCTGCCCACAGAAACATTTAACATTAAATTGAGATGGAGAAAGTTCACCCTTGGAGCATTTCTTCATAAAAAACACATTTTTCTATCAAACATTCTGCTCAAGAACTGCATCCTTGTCAACTCAACCTTACCACACCAAGCTGCCAGTACACTACATGCTTCACCTTTTATTCTGCCTACTTGAATCATGCTTCAGCCTCTCTAACAGGGAAACACAACCAGACAGCCTTATAAAAGAGAGCTTTATAAACAAGTGGAGTACGTCCCTTTTTAAATAACCAAGTCCAGTGATTGCCTTCAGTGCCTCAGGACCAGCGACGCACGTACCGGACATGCCATCCAGCAGAAGGGACACCTTACAGATTGACCCTATAGGAAAGCGCTGATCCACCTGACTGCCTGCAAAGGTCCTGGGCATGCATTGCAAAGGCCTAAGTGACGCTCTGTTACACCTAGAGGTTCCACAAAATTCCTGGACCCTTGAGGTTTTGTGGATGGAAGCTGGACGAGACCACCGCATACTGACTTTTTCTTGTTTTTTTTTTTTTCCAGATGTAAATCAGTTTGTGCCAAATACCCATTTGATGGTTTGCCAGTGGAGCTGAAGGAGTGAGAAACGGTTACCTGTGATGATTGCGGGGTCCATCCAGCTGCCAGGGCTGTCCCAATTCAGGCTGTCGGTGGTGGCAGTGTTGGACGTTGGTACACTGTGGTTGGCGTTGGAGGGGGAAGAAGCATTGGGCAGTCCACCAAAGTTGATGTTAATGTTCGGTAGAAGTGCCCTTAGCCCGTCCTGCCATTCCTTCATATTTAAACTCTCTACAGAACTGCTGTTGTCTGGGAGATTTACCAACAAAAAAAATGAAAGATAAAAAAATAAAAAGCTGAAGTTAGAAACAGATGTCCTTCTTTGGAGGGGTATGGGATTTTGCTTTTACTTTTTAAGCTAAGCATTTAATATTTTCTCTGTCCAAAACCTAGGGTCAATGTTTCCATGACTGATGAATTACTCAGAGGGGCTGGCAGGTTTTAAACCAAGTGTAAGGGAACAGGAGAAAGATATAACTCCTCCCTCAATACGTATTTCCCGATTTTGATTCAGCGACTCAAATAATCAAGGACACAGTGGCTCTTCCTCTATTACTAACAGAAGAAAATCTACCAGGTACTTGATAAGAATACCTCTGCTGCAATTTGGCTGCTTTATTGATGGGCAGCAGGCTCAAAAGGGTGGTGTGTATCAAAATGAAGAAAGGCTAGGTAGGGCTTTGCAGTAGAAATGGAATGTGAGAAACCAGGGAGGCTGAGGAAAATCATAGATGTCTTGTTTTGTTATAGCTTGCTCATTCACAGCCCTAGAGATGTTCTTCTGAAGGAAATGGTAATGAAGTTGGAGGGAGTGAAATTTCCTCTTGCAGTTGAAGAACAGTAGTGAAAATTCTTTAAAGACCTTTCAGAATAATTTCTGACACAGTAATATCCTCAAAAATTTGGTAAGAAGCAAACTAGCTGGACACCAAAGCAGTCAAGTCTCAACTAGTTGCCTGAATGTTTCAAGACACATTGGTAAAGGACAACAGGATAACGTGGCTATTAGCACTATAGCAAAGGATCCCTCAACACAAAAGTTACACCATGCTATCTAGAATAGACTATCTGGTTCTATGATCCATTTCTCGTTTTAAGTATCTCAAAGCAGGACAAACCAAACATGAGAACTCCAGTACTTATCATCCAATACAGCAAGGCATACTTTATTAGCTTGCAGTCAGTTATATTTGGAAAGGAAGTGCTAGGCAGTATGTTGGCACATGCCTGTCTTTTTGACGAATATCTAGAATACACTCTTTTTCAAAAACCTCTGTCTGTCCTGATTGATGAAAGGACCTTGATCTCGATCAGAATTGTTATAAAGAGATACTTTCACACACCTACTTCATCAACAACAGAACAGATTCAAGTCTTCCTGGAAAATCAGAGTATATCACTAACTTGCAAACTTATGTTGGAGAGTAAAGAAAGCATTCTCAATTGCTATCAGAACCTACCCTGGCAGTTTTTGTAAAGCTGAATGTTCAGGAAAAAAGTGGTGTCGTGAGCAATTCCTTTTTTGTAACTAGAGGGGGGGAAGAAACCCCCAAAACCAAAACTACTTGAAATCCTGTCCTTTCACAGCTCCTCCTTTTCCCTTTGCAATACAAATGCACAAAATAAATGCTTCTAAAGAATTCAGTGCAATACATTTTTCATCTATAATCCCAAGATTAAAAATAATAAATCAAAATTTTAGAAAGTATTAGTAGAAAATGTCCCCAAGAGATATTGTTCACAACCCTCTAGGAACATCCACAAGCCCATTTGAGACAAGTGCTAAATTAACTTTTTGGAACAGAAGTAGCTAGCTCAATATCACAGAAATAACAGCAACAAATTCTGCATTGTACACCATTAGTTTCCACTTTTTTTTCCTCACTGCTGCTTCAAAAAGCTTGTGCAAAGAAACACAGCTCTGTTTAATTATTTACTTCTACTGCAACACAAAAAGCACACAAAGACACCTGTGTCTGTGCATGAGTGAACATACTCATTTCAACACCTGTGAGCTGGGGATCTGCAAGGGTCTCAGTCACCGACTTTACTAACCCCCAAAACACCCTCAAAGCTCTTGTGTAAGAAAATCAGTATGTAGTAAACTACCTGCAACATGTCATTGAGGAAGACTAAGACAAAGCCTGCAGGATGTTATAAGGAACAGGACAGGAAAATTCATGTCATAGGGCATTAGGCCTCCTTGGGCTAAGAAAATATGTATGTTTTTAGTCATGTTATTCTCCATTAACAAAATACATAATACAGCGCACATAAGGGTGAAGAAAGCTAGCAAGTGTTTAGATACAAGACTCTCATGAAATGGAAAAGGCAGGTATTTTCTAGTGAGGAGACACTCCTGTCTGAGGCAGGCATAGTGCACCACTGCTGGGTACCCTCTCTAACACAAAAGAACAGGAAATAAAAAAACTGAGGGAGACTGTTCTTTACCTCTTTACCTGTCTAAACAAAATCTACTTGGATTCACAGAAGTCAAGAGATGAAAGGCCTAAAAGAATTCAGTATCTACCAGAAAAGTGTTGTTTGCTAGCTATAAGAAAGTCAGTTTGATAAAATCTTGTGCTCCTAGGTATAAAAGTGACAAAGTAGAGAATTACAAAAAATTGTCTTTCCCAAGCACATGTGTTTGCAAGCTAGGACAAAAACATTGGCCCCTGACACAAAAAAACCCCAAGCACCTCTTTGCTGGATTCCAGCAAGTTTTAAGCAGACTAAGTGAAAATGCAAATCCACCTGAGACGGAAGTTAGTTCTACCAACTGAAGGAAAAGAACTTACAAAATCACTATTCATCCCTCAGTTGGTTTGTTCTTCCTATTAAATATGTCTATGCTTCATGATGAAGCTAGGACCATAGTCAAAAATGACAAAACGCTAGCTCTCAGTTCTATTACAAAAGACATTTGCATATTATCCTTCTCCTTCCCTACTTCTAAAGTTAACTAGTTGGAAGGAGTAATTTTCTGACTATTAGCAGACTTCTCAGTTGGATATTACAACCTAGGGGTGTGAGAACCAATACAACAGTTTCCCTGTCTCAAGGAGTAAAAATGCTGTCTCCTTCCACAGGCTAATCTTAAAAGGCTTAAAGCAGCATGCCCAGTGATAGTGGGAAAACACAGAAGAAAAGGTAAAACCCAGATGACTGCAAAGAAAGTGTTTTATATACCAGGATAAATATGAGATTCCTCCCCTCGTGTCCTTAGCTTTGTTTCCTAAAATAGAGAATAACCTGGTGAAATATCAGTGAAAGCACCACTATTCACATGAAAAACATTCTCAAATCCACAGCCTGCACTCTGGTCTTCTCTCAATGTACATTTCATAATCCTGTCTAGTCCAGTGGAAACTTGTGTTTACAGGGGTGAACAGATCCCACACTTCTAGCACTGAAATTTTCCTGTGTCTGAGGTGGTATGTCAATGTGAAATGAAAGTACTTGTACATAAAATTTTCACAGTCAACCACTATCTTAGAATAAGAAAAGGAAAGGAAAAAAAAAGCTTCATCATAAATGCAACTTCTCCATCCAATCTAAATAAAAAAACATTTGAAGTTAACTTAAGAAAAATAATACATCTGAGAAGCCTGAACATTAATTTGTATAAAACTAGTCACTTTATGAATTTCTAAATGAAATCATTGTCCCATTATCACATCCTACCAGACAGTCAAGTAGCTTTACCTTATTCTCTACCTGCAATGCCTTAACACTCTTTCTTCAAATCAGGCAAAGCAGTGTGTATTTGGGGGAGAGGCCATGAAGAGGATTAACAGCCAAGCCAGAATACTGTTCTGTTGCATAATCAGTACTTTTGAAGATGTCTGCGCAAGTGTCTGCTGCACTGATACGGGCTGTTCTGTGACTTCCAAAATTCTGACAATGACACTGCAATGAAGACACAAAGGTGTTTCAAATTTGGCTGTGCCACTTTGGTGACGATGCACTCAATCTTTTATATTGATGGGACAGCACAACTTCCAGTTTTGTTGGTGTGAGACAAGCACACTAAAATTAATATTCCACAGTGACTAAACCATTTCAAATCATTGCCCCAATTCTGATACAAGCCTATGGTAAAATCCAAAGCAAAATTCACCCAGTACATGTTTAAGTAAATGCAACCAATAGGAAAGATCACAAGACTGCTACATTATGGGAAAAGCAAGAGCATTTCTTTGCTCTACTAACTTATATTCCAAGCCATTACAAAAGCCTATTGTCATGCTAATTGAGTAAAACCATTAAATTTAAATACCTTCCCTCCAAGTAGTAAATATTCTAGTCCTACTGAAAAGCATACAGTCCTGCAGATCTTGGTTGCAATTATTTATTTTTAAAGAACCCATTAGTAAGTCATATGTGTGGCCAAGACACACAGTATGTCAACTACAGAAAAGCATCAAACAAAATAAAATCAGATGAAAATCATCATATGAGAGAAAAATAAACTTCTAGCCTATGTCACATACTTAACTGCCAAGAGTGGCAACAAAAGAAGCAAAGAGACTATCAAGGTGTATTCAGTAATAGAATATTTATTTCAACAACCTGCCTGTTAATAGGCCCTTGTGAAATCTTCTAAGACACTGTACAATAAATTTTGAAGCCAAAGAAAATGAGAAAAATAAAGAACAGTAAGGACTACCAGGAGTTCACCAAGAGTCTTTCAACTCAATTAGAATCAAATGGGGCCAACCAGCGAATCACACCCTTTCAAGTGACATCTCTGGTCCCAGTCTCTGCCTTGTGTATCATGTTCACAGACAGCACACACTGTAAATGCTTTCCCTGAAGCAGCCTATTTCCCTATTCCGAGAATTTCCCTATTCCGAGAAGTGACTGGGGCTTCTCTATTTTGATCTCGAAATAACTTTCCACTGTATTTCTGTTTTGAAAGCAGTTGTCCAGTACTTCCCTTTGAGGGGGAGAGAGAAAGGACAATTTATCACATCCAAAAAATAAATTATGACCACCACATTACATAAACTCAAAAGCTTTTCATCCAAAGGTTGAATACTTAAACAGCAACAAAACACTTATGATAAGAAATATACCTGTTTCACTTTAGTATGAGTAATAAGCTTGTTTGTTCGTGAAATTTTTTAATAATGAATAAATTCCCATTTAAACTTCTATGACGTGAAGGATTTCTTTCTCAGCTTCATTGACTGTCTATATCTATGATTCCTAGAAATCCTACAATGCTTAAACCAAACAATGAAGTT